CTCCAGAAACTGGGCACCTAATTTTCAGGTCTGGCAGCGTTAAACATGGTAACTCCTACACCGTCTTGTTGAATTTAAAAGGCAGTCACTTATTCTCATTAGTGCATTGCTTTGACAATAAACACCCATCTGTGAAATCAGCAGAATGACAGTCTAATAAGAAAGCAGGGACTACTCAAAATTTGTGATCCCATAATCAAAACCTGCAATATCAACACTCACAGAATTTTAAAAAAGAGAATGTAACCTGAAATATATAAGGCTTACAGTAATGTAAGTGAGGACGTTATTAGCACCTTTTAAAAGTATCTACATCTATGTCTATATATCTGTATCTTATGAAAGAATAAAAGCATGAGGAAAAAAAAACACCTTATCACCAATACTTTTTGTTGTGTCTGGACCCCAAATGTAATAGTGAATTACATAACAGAGCACAATTCCTTCCAATCTTGTTTTTTATAGCATCAAAAAAAGTCACATGCAATTCTCTGATAGACGGACTATTTGAGAACTATTTTTAGACTCTCTATTCTATCCTTAGGTATAATTCTCTGTTCTACACTATCACTAACTAGTCTCAGAAAGCAACATTTGTAATTACAGAGGTCAGAACTAGTATAAACAACCTTAAAAACAGTCTCAGAAGTCTCAAAATGCAAACTACAGTTTCATAAATGGAAAATGATCTTCCTTAGTCTTAAGTAGCACAGCAATGAACATTTAGCAAAAATGCCAGCAACTGCAACACCAAATCAAGAACTATTTTTAACAGGAGTGAGTTGGTATGAGAAAAGGTTTTGGGGAGAGCTATCCAGTACATGTGTCTGGGTATCCTGAAAATATTCTACCGTCTGCGAAGTATTTGCCAGTTAAAATCTTTTGAAAATATTTACCTTAAATCAATATTAAAATACCCTAAAAAACCCAAGAATTTCCTTCAGCCAGGCAAAACCAAAATTCATTCTGGAAATGTTTTCTTTAGAATATTGTCACCAAAATTATTATAAGCACAAAACTATCTCTCCTCACCATAGTCTGTGACTGATTTGGGAGCACGCTGTTCTGTTTCTGCATTGCGTTTCTTATTCTTGGATTTCCAAGCATGATATACCTTTAGCCTTCTGTGAAACTCTTCTCTGCAAGCTGCCAACAGTTCAATATCTGTCTCAAAAATAAGGAAGGAAGGAAGGGAGGAGTGAGAAAAACCAGAAAAATTATTCATGAAATGCTTTTCTATATTCATAGGTACATAATTTTAGATCAGTTTGTAACACTAATGTGTTATAACATAATATAATAAACCCTCATTCTCTGCAGCAACAGGGCCTGTATTTTATGGCCCAGAAAGATCCTTGGAGTGCTATATAACCTTTTCTCCTTTAGAAGAATGGCAATCCCCAAAGTAGCTGTTCTACTGTGAGATTTGGAGCAGTGAAACGCTACGAATAAAATTTTCGCTTTGCTAAATTTGTCTGTTGACATTAGCACAAGCCAAGCAGTACAGAAACAGATAAAACTTCACCACTGAACTTTATTTCTGCAACTGAAAAAAAAAATCAGCAATTTGACTGCTCAGATCTAGGTTCTTTTTCCACTTTATTAAATATATTTTAATTTTGCTGAATTTCATGATACTAAGAGACTACATGATTGCAAGGCTTTTTCGTTAGTCACCTAAGAGTATCCAAACTGGCTTCACTAGGGATGAACACACATTAGCACTATGTATGACTGCACCACCTACTCAGCTGATAACATTACTCCAGTCTTGCGTATGTAAAAACAATAGAAAGAGAGTTAGAATTTGGAGCTAACTTTGGGTTTTAAATACAAATAGAGAGAACGGGTTCGTTTCCAATTTCTACATCCAGGGAGAAATTCTGAGTTATCCTAAATCAGAAATTAACCAACTGCTTTCAATCAGAAGCAGGAAGAAACAGTAATATTTAATAAAGGAATAATTCTTATCTGTTTCTATCTTCATCACATTGGGAGAAAAGTAATTAATGTCCCAACTGTGAGCTTCCCCAATGAAGTTACACATTTTGAAAATTAAAGAATAATCTGAACATCTAAGACAGAAAATATTTTACGCTGTGCTTTACATGACATATTTGCTTTTTTGTGACTTGGTGACAGCAAGAAGTGATAGCAAAAAAATTCTTAGAACACGCAAATTCTAGGTAAAGCATAGTAACTATTATTCCCTTTGTGGAAATACATAAAACTGAGATAATTTAATTAAGAAATTATAACATGTATTTTATAGCCCAAGCAGTTTAACTTCATAAATATATAATCAGTAAAGGAGGTAACAAAGGAAATTATGTTTCCTCAATATGGAAATAGCTTAGTTCGCTGTTCTCTTTGGGGTAATAAGAGCTTTTCAAAATTAATTTGACATTCATTCAAACCTGAATAAATTCACGAGCAAGTTTTGATCTTTGTCATAGGAAGAAAGTAACACCTTTCATAGAAATCAAGTTGTAGTTGTTTCTCAAATCAGAAAAAAAACCCCAAAACAAAACCCAACTTACCACAGGATGTATTGATTGTATCGCGAAGCTCTGCATATTTCCACTTACTGAGATCATGCTTCTTAGTACCAGCAGCAGCTTTCGTGGCTTGAACTGAAGGACCCCTACAATTATTTAAAAAAGAAAATATATATATGTATTTTTTCAAGTATGAAACAGGAATTGTTACAACAGGAGGAACAGATCCTACGATCAACACTGCAGCATGCTTATTACAATGAAAATCAACAGCAAATGACTGAATTCACAGGCAAAGTACCATATTATTTTCAAGATGTTCAAATGATTAAGAAAATGTGAAAGCATCTTTTACGTCCAAAATCGTGTAATCATCTGATTGGTTGCCTACAGATTAAAAGGAATTATCAGTAATAGTTAGCGCTTATGTGTGAAAAGACGCATATTCTATTCATGTGTACCTCACCCCACGCTGATGTACATTTTTCTTGGTACTAGTCAAGATGCAGAATACAGACAACAAGGAGTGGCCATATACATTTTTAGTTCCATTTGAAAAACAGACGAGGAAAAATATTTCTGAAGTAGACAAGCAGAAGGGAGAAAAGGCGTTTCCTCTGCTGTTTAAAACTGAATTAGGACAAAACCCTTGTTCCAAGACTAGAGAAAATATTTTATTTCTTTGACAAAAGTCTAATTTGAAAAAAGAAATCAAATTAATTCTATATTAATTGTATAGTAGCTGTCTGAGAACAGCAATATTTATTGGGGGGGTGTCGTTAAGAGATACCAAGGAAAAAAAGACCACTATCAGAAGAAAGGCTGACCAGTATAAAAAGACTCATCTAGAAACAGTGTTTTTCAAAGGCAAAAGGTATTCATCATGTGGGTAGTATGCAATAAAGTCAACAGCAAATGCAAGTGAGAAATTATTAGTAAAATTCCATCATCATTAACAGTATGTGTAACATTATCCATGTAACAAACAAACATTACCTGTATACATCTAAAGATAAACCTGATTTTTATTTTTTTTTTCTTAAAAATGTTATGGATAAGAAGCGGAAGAACTCTCCCTTAGGAATGGCAAACTTCCCATGGATTATCTGGATGTAAAGTAAGTTCAAAACACTCCAACATGCAGTGACGATCAGAATACTTTTTAAACACTAAGGAATTTAGGAACAGACACATGATTTTACCAACCTCTGCTAATGCCCATGACTAAGAACATGAGGCAAACTGAATTATCTTTCAGGATCTGAGAGGATTTGTTCAGAAAAAACTAGATCTTTAACAGGGTAGCAAAATACTTGATGCAACACATCACTGTAAAAATTCACAAAAGAGAAAAACAGAAGAAAACAGGACTTTTCAGTTAAAGTCTGTTTGTGCAGCAATATTTTTGTGGGACTGTTACATTATTACAGTATTTATAATCCAGTGAATATTATTTTAAAGTTTATTTTTCCATAAAAGTCTCATGTGGGACTATGAAGTTTTATATTATTTTGCCTTTTTACTTAATAGGTTATAAATACATTTTCTGTGAAAAATTTCTCTAGTAGATATAGCAGTTCTGAAAGCAGAGATAACAAATGCAATTTATTTTTAAGTTTCATAGAATAAAACAATCTGTTTAACCAAATGTTCGACTTAATAGCAACTGAACCACCTCTTCAAATGTAATTAAAACTACAGAATCTTGCTGTTTATTGCAGCATCAGCTTAATCATGCCTACTCATACTACTAATCTGAGTCAACACACAGCTTCCAGTTATGGTATGTGGGAAGTCTGACATAAGAAATTACCTCTTTGACTTTTAAACAGTACATAGCTGAGGGACAGGAACTTTTCCACACCCTTAGCACTACTCGTAAGTGTAAAACAAATCATTAGACAGATAGTCTCCTTCAAAATATATATTTTATTATTTTGTTATCATTGGCATACCCGTAGGACATTAAAGGATTGCTGCTAAATGTAATTTCCGCTGCCTGGTGTCTAACCTTCTTGAATCTAATTTGACAAATCCTAAGGATTTTCCTTAATTAGCAACACTACCCACCACTCTCAGAGTTTGCTGCATAATTTAGAGCAGCAGAACTAGGCTGTAAGGTCTCTGGTTAAACTAGTAATCTTTAAGAATGCTAATCCAATGGAATGGCTTAGCCTTTCCATTACAGCACTACTTTGCACTCTGCAGATAACTCTCTTGGTTTCTACATGACTTTAAGCATAACAGTCTGGCAGTAAGAAGAGCATCATACTTGACAGTCAGTCTTAACCGCTCAATCTGACAAAATTATGTATCATAATCAGTATTTTCAGACTTAAAAAAAAAAAAAAAATAATCAGTCTCAAGTCAGAAGTTTCCAGTATATGAAAAGTGAAAAAAATCTAGTTAAACAAGCATGCAGTAAGAAGTACTGCATTTTGAATTCAACCAAAACACAGAGCCTCTGATTTTGCCCCAAAGTTTTGTGATTTTTTTGCACATTAAGAATTACCCATTGTCATTGGAACTATGTCAATATATGCAATACAATCTAGCCATCCAAATTCACATGCTAACTTAATTACACAGAACACTGTTTATTCCTATTCTTAAAACGCTACTGCAAGAAACAAATTTAGTTAGCAGCTGCATCCCCAACTATCAATGCTACAACTAGAACACCCATCAATCATGTGAGACCGATCACCTTCAGACTATATATACACAGCATAGTAGCTTGTTTAACAACAGATTCACTTTTAAAAACTCTAAACAATTTCACTTCTTACGTAAGCTTCAGAAAATGAATGGCAAAAGGTTATTTTTGTCCTTAAGTTGCACAAAACACTTTCTAATTACTCACTGATATGGAGGACATTATAACAATTTCTTTCAACAAATAATTAGTATTCTAACACAAACTAGAATGAGACTGTTACAGTAGAATTGTATTCAGATCTAAACCTGCATTCTCCTTTCCTCCTGCATTATGCATAAAATCTTGCAGTAGCATTCAAGAAATCTCAGAAGGGGATTTTGTTTGGATGTCTTAAGAGGGGTTTTAATATGCTTTTAACACGGTAGTTTTCAAAACTGCTTTTATTTGAAGGGAACTATAACTAGAATATTTTCTTATTAGAAGCACTAACAGTTACATTAACATTAAATAACTTCATTAACTCTGTGTTGAATCTGTAGAAATCCTCCTTCGAAAGATGTGGAGCCTAGTTTTCTTTTATCATTATAAGAAAGGTGAAAAGAGAAGAAAGTTAGAGGAACATTATCAAAATTACACAAAATACCAGGGTATGGGAACCATTCTTATTCTTTTTTTTATACAAACAATTAAAATAGCAGAAAAATCATTGCTGGAAAAAAGGTGTTGATAAACGAAATTTATCTGAAATAAATTATTTACTTATCTGCTTAGCACTTAAAAAAAAAACAAAACAAAAAAGATTCCATTATTTTTCATTGCATAATAATTCAACCCATTTCATGTGTGATTTCTTTTTATAAAATGATTGATTCATTTGGTGGTGTCTTCTCACCTACCTAGACAATATTTCTGACATTTCTGTGGCCATTTGTTCCCTATAAGAAAATTGATAAATAAGCATAAACCAAACATTAATATAAAAACAGCCTTTGTAACTGTGATAGTCTCTTGCCAACCAAACTGAAGCTAATTCAAGTGCACAAAAAAAAATGGCTACTTATTTTAAATAATTTCCATTCTAATATATGTACACAGTCCTGATTCTGTAAAGAGCAATAAATCACACAGGGCAGTGAAAAATGGACGGTATGTGAAAAAGTTTACACTGATTATATAATCATCTTTAAATAGATATTATTAGGTATATTAGATTATTAACTTGTTTATTAGACATAAGCAAAGTAGTGGATATAAGGTATTACAAACTGATTTAAAGTTTACAGATGCATGCTAATAAAGATTATTATGGGGTAACTAGTGAGTAAGAGGAAATGTCAATTTCCTTTGAATTAATTAGTGTTGCTTTTTTTTCCATTAGAACATTTGAATAGAAAAAAATGCCATACGCAGTCATTTGCAGCTTTGCTCCATTGGCTCTGCAAATAGAAGATATTTATGTTACATAGAAAGGTAACTAGGAAGTAATCTAATAACTGAAGTGGGAAAAAGTGGGTCATAGTATTTCCTGCTCTCTCACATCTTATTTACTACCTTATGATTATTTTTTTTTTCACTGAGAAACAGGATTATATAGACCTTTTTTTTTCACCTTTCTCATTCAATCGTGAGTGTTAAATTATTTTTAAAAAGTTAAATTACGATAATCTGGACAAAAGGTATAAGCGAAAACTTCCCCACCCTTTCTCCCTCCCACCCCCCTTTCAAAATCAAAGATTTTGAGACATGCTGCTGATACATTTTATGGCTGGATGAGCATATCACAAGAAATAACAGCAATCCTCATGTAGCTACCCTGGGAACAGGACAGATAGCTTCTTCATGCAAGCTGTGAAAAGGCACTGAGTCTAACTGCCATACTGAAGACCCACACGTACACACATGTAGCACTGAATATGCTACAAATTGGAACTTACTTGGATTGTTCCAACGCGACGCGCAGAACAGAGATACTCACACCACCTTCACTGAGGCTACTTATTTTGGTGCTATATGCTATACTGTATGTTTCAATAAGCCACATAAAAATATTGCACAGTTGAAAATGTATCTATTATTTAGCTTATTAATTAACTTATTTAATTAATTTTTTACTTAAGTGCTAAGTACTTCTGTTAATTTACCCCTAGGTGCAGTAAATCCCTCATTACACATGCTTTCAAATTGTGGATGAGTAATAAAATTGGATGAAGCTAGGAGAGGTCCAGCATATCCAGCGCAGCATAAGCACAAATAAAAATGCTGAATCTACTGCCAGAACAAATAAGTTTTCTTCTTTGACAAGAGCCAATGAGTATATTTCTCAAAGAAACTACTAATACTTACGAACCTTTAAATATCTATGAAAATTAATGGTGAATGCAGCAAGGTATTGAGAAGAAAAGAAATAGAGGCTACTCATTTTCAAATATGACAACATGCAAGTACCACATGTTCCTGAAAAATGAGCAAAATACAAGAGTTCCTTCAAAGCGGCACATAAAAATCACCTTGTTCTTACTATTTTCACTCCACAAGGTAGTACAGCACAATGGAAAATACCCTTTTAACCATGCCAACGTGTAAGCATGAAATGATTTTTTACAAAATTGTGTGAAAACACTGTAGAACCAGTATATTGCATGAATTCAGTATGGAGTGATACATGCTTTCTCTTACTACAGCAAAATTTAACAGAAAAGGGAAATATACATACATAAAAGTTGCAGTGATTTCAGTGTATCATATGGTAATATGCAAGTCTCAAATCCAGAAGATAGCAGAATATAACTTCCTTAGACTCTAGTAAAATTTTAATTGATATCAGTTAAAATAAGTCCTGAGAATTTATGTTTAAATTATTCAATTGCATGTTTTGTTCAAACCAATAGTTTTCATTTCAGAGAAGAATTCCCAATTTCTACCCTTAAGCCGATTCCTGCAGTTACGTGGAAATCTACTGTTGGATTTCAGTAGAAGATATCGGGGTCTGAAGAAAGTTTTAGTTTGTTTTTAAACAAACCAAAACAAAATCAAATCAAAGGTGAAATTAAAAGAATTTTTGGACATGCTTAAAACTCTTTGAAGTGGACTGCAGAAACAGAAAGAAAAAATTTTGCTAATGAGCTAAAAAGAAATCTCTTATAAGCAGAAAAATCTCTCTACTTTTTTCTAGATTTATATATATTATCTTGTTCAAGAAAGGATTTACAGTGCTATGTTAACTTGTTCAGACCATTCTACACTTACCAATCATTCAGAAAAGAGTCTTCATTCTCCTACTGCTAGCTACACAGCGGAGAGAAACTGACAGTCGTTAACTACCAGGATGGTTAGTTCATCATCCATTCTGGGACTACACAAGGAAGACAAATGCCAGCACTACCCATGAGCAGTAGGAAACACTGTGGAGATTAGAGCTTCTCTGACAGAAAAGCCACTGAATTCTCTGAGCCCTTCTTGTCTAATGCCTCCCTTCTTTCATATTTAAGAGAAGTTTGCCAGGTTGCAACACTAGAGTGACTCTGGGTTTACCTTTGAAGTACTGCACCAAAATTCAAACAGGGAAAGTATGAAAATCTCCAGAATGCTGTCTGTGAAGAACTTGGACATCCAGCTGAGCATGTTAAAGTCTTATCGGAGACAATATGACAGCTATTGTATAACTGAAGGCAAAACCACAGTAAATTTAGTGGAAGTGTCTAAAAATCAGTATTGTACATGACAAAAAAATTACCTAGCTATCTCACATAGGCATACAGTTATTAAAAAAAAGTATTCATCTAGATAAAATTTGAGTAGCAAAGAGAACACAATCTGGGATCTTGAAATTCCATGGAAACACTTGGGATTTTCTTACACCCCCTTCTTTCAACAACAACAAACTGAGTAGACCAGTACTAATGAAGTCACCAGTACTAATGAAGTCACCAATGACAACAATGATCATGTTCATAGGTCTCTATATGCATTTGCCCAATAAGTACCATTTTTACTGCAACTTTATGCCAAATTCTCACCTAAACTTTTCCCAATACCGCTGTGTTCTTGATATAAAAACAGAAAGCCAAGAGCCCTAATTCACTTTTCATTGAACCCTGATTAACATACAGACCCTCTAGAAAGTGCCCTGGCTGGGCAGCAAAACTTTGTTAAACTACATTTTTATCTTGAGCATACCTGAACTGGGTAATCTGAAATCAGAACTCTATCAATTAAAAAAAGCGAACTGTTTTTCCCCTTAGGAGAACTATGCAGAGAGCACATCTTAAAGATACTTTCCAGACAAGAAAGCAAGCCACACAGTTAGAAAATACATCAATTAATTACATGTACATTTGCTGGCTATAAAGCTTCTGAGGCCTCACCCTTTACACATGAAGAGCTCCTGCTTTGCAGGCAGTGTGGATCTGTACACCAAAAGCCAAGCACTTCTTGTGATGCATCAAAAAGTTCAAACAAAACAAAATGTTTAAGGCAACATTTAATTTTCGAACCCATCTATGTTAAATATATTCAATCCACTTTAAAAAACTTACGAGTCAGGACACAGAAATAACTACTATTTCTGCATTCAAAGAGAGCTTCTTGTTAAAAAATCCACGCACAAATTCACACTATACTACTGGAACCATCACGTACCAGAAAGGGTATATTTTATTACTACTTACCACTGAAGAAATTCCATTCACTACTTTAAATGTAATGTAAAAATCATAATTTATATTGGTTACCATCCTCGCCAGAACTCGAAAAGAGAAAGAGCACTGCAGTTGTATTCACAAGTACCTACTAAATTACTGATGTAGCAAGACGCAAAATAGACAAAGTCTTTAAGCAAAAGCAATCTATTTCTAATAAATTTCGTAAGTTAATTTGAAAAATACTCCAATACACTGACTTAAAAGGTCCACTTAATACAAAAATACATAAAACCAACAAGAGCATATTCTCAAAGGGATTAGGATAGGAAGCAAAAAAAAAAAAGGAAAAAAAAAGAGAAATTTAACTACTTAACCCCATACCTGCGCAATCCTAAATCATGCTGAACCTCATCACTGATGAGTTCTGCCTCACTCTGGGCAATTCTCATTGCAAGTTCACGATCACGACGTTCCTGTTCAAGAACTGCCTGGTGCTGGGTTTCCTCTTCTTGTTCTCTAGCTAGCTGAGCCTCGATTTCAGCCTGTTTTATAAAAAAACCACATGCTTAACCTTATCCAATCAAAACCAAAATCCTATGTAAGCAAATGATTAGAAAAATATGCCAAGTAGTGTATTTATAGTTTTTAAAACTTGCAAAATTTACAGCAGTAAGAAAGTAACAACATTAGTATTTAGTTTGACCCAAGAAAAACAAAACAGCTACAGATTGCATCTTGGTTTACATAGTTTATCAAATCATTATTGCCCACTATTTGTATTACCTTTTCAAATTAAAGTGCCAGTCAATTATTCCTTATTTAAAAAACACATGAAGCTTTTTGTTAACTATTACGAAAATTAGACTTGAAAAGTTTTTAGTCTCATTAAAACTCAGATGATACAGAGCAACATGGTTACTCCTCCATAGCGCTAACACAATACTTCCTTGATATTCTGCACTTAGCATTATAGGACTTGCCAACAGGCACTGCTGCACATACAGGTGGTTCATTTTGAAAAGGGATCAAGGCAAACACTGGAATCTTCTGTGGGCCTGATCTGGCTTTGAATTTAAGCAAATGGTAAAATTCCAACTTACTGCAATGCAGAAGCAATCCAGATATACTGCCTCTGCAGAGCAAAACTAATTCCAGTTTACCATCATTATTTAACAAAAGGTCTTGCACACATAGTAAGTAAAATGCAACCATCCATATCGTACTTCTGAAAGTCATACACACCAAGTCTTAGCAGTGCCTTTCTTGGTGCCCAAAAGTCAACAAAGGAGACAAAGTCACTTCCCACTCATCATCGTGAACTTGCACCAGTAAAGCAGTGCAGTAAGACCAGTGACTTTACCCTGTGAATCCCATTTTAGATTAGCTAATAGCAACAACCACCAGAAGGAGAGATAATGAGTAATTAACTGTATGTAGAAGAAAGAAATACCCTACTGGATTACGTATCTGCTTTCTATCCAAACACAGCATTTCCAAGTAAAAGTGTAAATTACATTCTGCATTGCAGATATCCACATCTCAGAAACATAAATAAAGACAATCCCTAGAGATGCTTATACTGCTGGCAGACCAAGTTTTTAAGCCTTCTGGCAACAGTCCATCTTGCTTCCTCAGTGGACAAAGTTTAATCCATTTAAACTGTCCCCGAATGGAAACTTACCCTATGAATTTCTCACAAAACACTAGGCACATCTGCAATGGTCTCCAAGCAATGATTTAGAGACTAGCCAAACAGCAGTTTACTCTTTTTATGTTTAAAACCCTGGTCTGGTAGTGGCTTATTATAAAAACCAGCTGGTAGTGCTTATTATTCTGATACAGGTGACAGACCTAATCAATAATACAGGAAAGATTAATTTTTCATCAAAGTTAGGCTATAATTTCTCTATTAGTTCCAGCAACTTGTTTATCAGGAACAAGGATAAGGTGATAAAAAACAGTATGCAGAGGCAAGGAGGATAAGCAGTGCTAGGCTAACTTCAGGGATAACAAGATACAGGAGAAAAATTCTGCTTCTGATTAATCATGGACAGGGCTTAAAAGAGTCTGTAAACATCAGTGACCGCTGCCCTGCGCTTGCTACAACTGCCCCTACAGAGAAGCTTCTTCTGTCTGAGACTGCTCTCCCAGGTCACCCAGGCAACCTCCAAGACAAGAGGAAAACAAGGGCCAAACACACCTCAGAGTGAGAGTTCATGATGGGATCAGTAAGAAGTGTCAGGAATCAAGGGGGAAGGGTGGAGGAGCAGGGTTTGAACTGCATGTATTTATTCCACATGAATGTAGTCAAATGGGCTACTGGAGACAGTCCTGTATCCTCTTGTTATTAGCAATATTCTGAAAGTGTTTACAGTTAAGCTGGTACATGACACAGCCTGAGTCCAGATGTGACTTCTAGTAAAACAGTGCCAAACTTGCCTGACGTGAAACATCTGCAAAAACTTCAAAGGCTAAACTAGGATTCTCCAGCGTTGTGTATTTTTAACTTTAAAATAACTTTAAAAATCCTTTAAAAACAAATGCACCTCTAGTCAGAAGACCTGAACTTGCATGTGGACTAGAAATAGGTGATCTGTCTTGGGATGCCCTAATCCTGATTTTCGCCTTACATTTAGTACTAAAGCAACACTGCTGAATGACTGAGACACACATTTATAAAATGAGGCCGTTAGACTCAGTGGAGAACCCAAGCTGGGAAAAAGATTTAAAAATCCAAAAAACAAAAAACCTAACCAAAAACACTCCAACAACAACAAAAAACCACCTCAAAACCCCCGCACAGCTAAAACATTACCTGAATACGCTTTTCTTCCTCTTCCCTCTTTCTCCTCTCTTCCTCTTCCTGTTTTCTCTTTGCCTCAATCTCAGATTTCCTATTACAGAAGAGGAGGAGGAAATGAAAACATGTTATTACAATGCAAATGAACGAGAGATATGAAAGCATCTTCCATAAAATTGAATGGTAATCCAGAAGTCAGTACAGTCCTGATGACAGGACACTACACGTAAAGTCACGATACCTTCCAAGTCCATCTGTATTTCCAGCTGCATCATATAGTTTCTTCCATACTCTGTTCCAACTACATTTACCTTATAAATCACTGGGAAAGGAAATGTTTTAACACTGCATAGCACACCAGGAGTACAATCCAAGTGACTCTCTAAGCATAGGAGTATTAAAAGCAACCTCATTGAAGTGCCTTTCCTATTTTTTTTTTTCTTTCTATAATCAGCAACTTATTCAAGACTCACAGACGTCTTTCCTCTTCTTCCCTCCTTCGTTGTTGTTCTTCCTCTTCACGTCTCTTTCTTTCTTTTTCCATTTCCTCCTGGATGCGTCGTAGCCTCTCTGCTTCCTCCTCTTGCTGTTTCTTCTTTTGCAGTGCACTCAGAAGCTGCTCTGAGCTTCTAACTAGAGCATCATATTCTTTCTGTATCTGTTCCCTAGTCATTATAGTGGTCTGTAAAATGAAATAATAAGAGGGGATTATATTCCTTTACTTTTGTACATCACTTTTAAAAAAATGTATGGTGAAAAAATATTAAGTGAAATGAGAGCATTGAGCAGTATAATTAAATTATAGATACACTTCAGGGTGGGAGAGGAGCTTGAGCACATCCTTCCCTTCCTTCCTAAAATCCTGGGGATCCATTACTCTCCTCTCTCATATAAAACCATACAAAGTAATCTCCATTTTATCACTGAAATTAAACATTACTTCTCTTTGTATCATGCCTCCATTTTTTAAACCTTGCATTTTTAAGCAACAGAAACTAATTCTTACCATGCTAAGATGAAAACTAAGGACCTTCTATGTGCATTTTGTGTCATGTTCTTAGCTTCTCTAGTGGTTATTTACAGCTCTGCCTTTTATGTCATAGCACAGAATAGGTTCTCTTACTATGTGTGCTAGCACTCAAAAAAAAATATTGGACCATGCTCTGACTAACTTTTTTTAAAAAGGTATTAGTAGCAAATAACAGGTTGAAAATACTTAAAACAATAGCCTTTGCTACATGTTTTCAAACCTCATCAATAGCTACAATTTAATTTCATTTTACAATTCACATTGATGTTTACTAATAAAACTGCAGTACGGGGTGTTTGCTCACCTTTTCTGAGGGTGTATCATGATGACAATCAGATTGTCTTATTTTTATTAGAAAAGAGAACTGTAAGTTGACAGGTTACCTCTATCATCTTTTCAACTGTGATTTTAAATAGAAAAATCTTAATATGGTACACTAAGAAAGCTATAACATTGCACGAAACAAAAATTCAACACATCAAATTTTTCCAACATTAATAAATCCCAGTGAGCTTTTATTTTGTCTGTGTGCTCTAGTGGTAAGACACAGAGAACTACAGACCCTGAAGCATAATCAGCAAGCTGAATTCTCTTTACTACCACGTCTGAAAAAAACTTGTAACTGGAATATAAATCTCTTCACTCTGTGATACATGCTTGTACGTTTCAGCCCCAATTAATTTAAAACATTGCTAATATGCATTATTCCAATAATAAAAGCAACAAGCAAATTATTAACAACACTTGTCTCACAATATCAACATGTGTTTTTGCTTTAAATTCTCCAGTGCCAATTTTGAAACAGATAATACCAAAGTCTAAACGTATGCACCCAGTTTCAGGATTCACTTCAGTTACATTCACAAATAATTTTAAAAAGGATTTATCCAGTGCCTCTGAAAATCAAGACCTCTATATTAAAATGTCTTTTCTATTAAGAAAAATACATTGCCCTTCTACTTTAGATAAAATTTTTAAAAGATTTCAGTAATAAGAAACTATTTCTCTGATTATTATCATACCTTAATTTTGGTCATTGAAGCATCAATAGAATACTCCAGCTCCTTGACCTGCTTGCTTGTCTCTGCTTTCCCTTCCTTCAGAGCACTTACTACTTCATTAAATTTTTCAAGTCTCTTCTTCAGGGTACGCACTTTTATCAGGCCATCAATGCTGTGAAGGTAAGACAGTTTATTTGTATTTTGAGATGTTTTTACAAGGTGATATTTTTAGAACTATCACTAATCACTCACATTAAAGAGGTAGATAGGGGAGACGAGTTATGCATTCTGATAAAACTCACCCTCTTTTTTTGAAATTCAAACATTATCACATGAAGTAACTAAGCAATGGAGCCTTTTGCAAACAATATTAAAACCAATTAGCAGACAGTGACTCAAAATGGAAAAATGCATTTTTATTTTGAGAATTAGTGTGGGGTTTGGGTTTTTTTTCAATAACAAATCATCAGTATCCACTAGAGCATTTTGACTGGAGTGGATAAAGGTTGAGTTGTGCCACTTACCCAAAGAGCAACAATGGGACTGAATCAGATAAAATGTAACTACACAGCAGAGAACCTGGTCATTAGACCCCACAGGGAAAAAAAGAAAGTCTGGGGAAAAGAAGAGTCCAGGAAAACTTGGAGCTTTTTAAAGAACCAATACTGAAGGCCACACATACAAATTACAACTCTGCACAGACAGTCTTCCTAGAAAGAAATCACTGCAGCTCAGATTCAGGAAAACAACATGCAAAAAGTAGAAACTAAATCAAACCATTAAAGATGAGTACAGAACAGCTTAAAAACACAGGGATGTGGTCAGAAATGCCAAGATAAAAAAAAAAAAAAACAGAAACATAACTACCCAAAGGATGTAAAAGAAAACATTTTCTAAGAACCCCACTATTAAAGAAAAGAGAGGTGTATCTCTATCAAAGAACAAAAAGGTGTCAGCAGAGCTTAGTGATCGAAGTGGTTTTTCCATCAGTATTCCATGCAGTCAGATTAAGGCTAATGGAATTACTTAATTTCAAGAGGAGACAAGACAGACAGAACACACAATTATTTTTAAGATTAAAAAAAGAAAGGGGGCCTATAAAGGAAGGTGTGAATGGGTAAAGGATGAAAATTAATGAGCTTAAATTTCATTTAGAGAGACTTAACTAAGGATTTCTAATAACTAGGTTATCACTGAAGGATTTTATGAAGAAAGAGCTAAACAAACATCTCTGAGGAAAGGTTCAGATTTAGTCTATTCATCCTTGGGAAAGAGAGAAGGACAACGGCACCTCTCGAAGTCTCTTTCAGTCGTACTTAGCATCATTCTATGACTTCAGATATATTTAATTAAGCATACTAAATCTCCTCTTTACATTCACAAGAAAATATTGTTAAAAATCCATTTTCTTCAACCAAGGAATATCCTCTTACCGTGGTTTGTGCTTTCTCTTGCAAAGCCACATACGAATAGTCTTTTGTATTTTAATGCAGGCACCAGCTCGATATTTTATCTTATTTTTCACTGTAAAAACACAGAAGATACTGAGTCTCAATGGTTTACACAATTTAACGCAACTCCTATATGACTCACACACTTGATGGCTCAAAACTGTATGCACACTACATGTGCTTGAGAGCTAGGTCTATACCAGAACCACAACACTTAAGACACAGCAGACAACAGAATCCTGAGCCAGGCATAGACGCTCCCACCCAAAACAAACAGAAAGAATGAAGCACGTGCGCACTCACAATAGTGCCACACTATCAATGGTGATAGGCACTTATTTGCCGATCAGCAGTAATTGCTGGAGTGGAGATGTTTGCCTCGTAATTCATGTCAGTGCTTTTAAACACGCAGTTTCTGTCCAGAGATGACAACCTCTGTGCAGGCACTTCCCAGAACTAATTGACTCTGTGTTGTCAGCTGAGAGTTGAACTACTGTTCTTTCCTGCTGCTGTAGAAGTCTCTTCCCCATGAGACCTGTGATAACTAGTTACTCCTGTGCAAGTGTTTACCCAGGCTTCAGTAAGCACCCAAGCAGACTGGACACGGGAGATTGGTGGTGGGCTGTATGTCCCACTTTTAAAAACCTCTGCTCTAAGCCCCCCCTATATGTACCTAACATAAAGCATAAAAAAATCTCACCATCCTTGAAAGCAATTACTCAGACTTTAGTATGTAACCGTCTGCTACACATGTCCTTAGCCAGATTTCAAGGTGATAATAACTGCTTTGCTATATTTTTAATAAACATTTTGATTTAATAAAACATAAGATACATACATTTAATCACTGAGAGAGAACACCATTGAACTTTTTTCCAACGACTGCAGATAAGCCAGCGATTCACTCGTTTAACTAGCTCTGCTAAGTGATCCGGATCAGACTTCATTATCTGATCAAACTCTGCAAACTAAATAAAAAAGTTTTACAAATGAGGAGAACAGGGAGTGTTAGACATTATTATTTAAGAGCATGTTGAGTTAAAAAGGTAAAATATTTTTAATGTAAACTGTATGTCATCATTATATCAGCTTTCAATTAATTCAAGTGAGCAGGTGTGTCTGGCATCACTTTATTCTTTAATGATAACCAGAAATGACTACTGATTTGGTTTTTTTGTTTGTTTAATTGATGTGCAACACAGCATTTTGAATAATCCAACCATTTATTAATCACTAAAAATATCTACTGCCAAAATTTTTAAAAATTAATTGTTTCTCTACATCCTGAACACTTACTCTGGCCTTCCACAACTTCAAGAGACCTCTAATTTTGTACCTGGGAAAAAATAAAGCCTCGAAAGCACTTCTCAATTTTTAACCTTTGTGTAAGAGTCCAACTAAAGGCAACCTTTTCTGAAAATCCTGCACTTCTACTTTTCGGTAATTATGACAGTAAGAACATTCTTCGGGGACTACAATAATTTTCCTTTCTAGTCACAACAGCTCCCTAACTTTATCTCTTTTCTCTGCATAGCAGCAGCAATGCTCAGAATCCCAGAAAGAGATTTCAGCTATAAATAGATTTTACTAGAAAATATTTTTCCTTTGCTCTGACTGGCCAGCAGTGTGCCCAGGCGGCCAAGAAGGCCAATGGCATCCTGGCCTGTATCAGAACTAGTGTGGCCAGCAGGAGTAGGGAAGGGATCGTGCCCCTGTACTCGGCACTGGTGAGGCCGCACCTCGAATACTGTGTTCAGTTTTGGGCCCCTCACTACAAGAAGGATGTTGAGGTGCTGGAGCGTGTCCAGAGAAGGGCAATGAGGCTGGTGAGGGGTTTAGAGAACAAGTCTTCTGAGGAGCGGCTGAGGGAACTGGGGTTGTTTAGCCTGGAGAAAAGGAGGCTGAGGGGAGACCTCATCGCTCTCTACAACTACCTGAAAGGAGGCTGTAGTGAGGTGGGTGTCAGTCTCTTCTCCCAAGTAACTGGCGAAAGGACGAGAGGAAATGGCCTCAAGTTGCGCCAGGGGAGGTTTAGATTGGACGTGAGGAAAAAT